CCCTGGTCGCCTCGATCGTCTCGTCGATGGCGCGGCACACCAGCCGGGCCGAGAAGGCCCTCGCGCGCCGCCTCGGCCAGGCGTGCCACCGCAGAGAGGGCCCACGCGCACGCGCGCACACCTCCCCACACCCTCTCCTCCACCTGCACCTCACCCCACCCCCCCACCCCACCCCCACCCTCCACCTCCCCTCCAGCCTCCACCTCCAGCTGCCCATCACCCTCCCCCCCCCCCTCTCAACCCCCCTCCCCCTCCCCATGCACCTCCACCGACCGCACGCGCTCCCTCCGCCGCCGGTCGTAGGACGTGGTGCGACACAGCAGCGCCGGCGAGCCGCCCCAGCTGCCAGGCGACTCGCCGTCCGCCCTCCCGCTGCCGCACACCGCGCACGCCGCAGCTTGGACGCATGGGCGCGGCCCGCGCCACGCCGAGCGCTGGACTACCGCGACGGCAGACGGCGCCCCTGCGGTGATGCAGAGGGCCGGGGGCGGGAGGGAAGAGGAGCTGCCGCCGCCCTCCTCCCCGCCTCCCTCCTCCCCGCCGCCCGCCGCCCACCCCGCGGGCTTCAGCGTCGGCGCGGCGGCCACCGGCCGGGTGCTCGTGCTCGAGGCCGCGCGAGCTCTCGGACACGTCCATGACCTGTCTGCGGACACGTCCCGCGCTAGGTCCTCATGCTCGGGATGCCGCGCGAGTTCTTCGGCGGTCGCGTCTGGGTGCGGGTGGGCGCACGATGGCGGGCGGGCGGCGCGGGCGTGAACGGCACCTCTTCACGCCCCTCTCGCCGTGCACAGGTGGCGCACGGCGCGTGGTCCGAGGGAGTGCACCTCCCCTCCCTCTCCAAGCGCGACGGCGCCGCCCTGCGCGTGCCTCGTCCCGGGGCGGCGGCCCCCGCCTTCGGCAGCACCGAGGCGGGCGCTCGCGGCTCGTCGGCGAGTCTGCTCGGCGAGGCGGAGCTGCGCCGCGGCTCGAGCGCCGCCAGCGAGGAGCGGGCCTCCGGCGACGGCTCCTCCGCCCCGCCGTCTGGCCGCGCGTCCACGCGCCAGAGCCAGGGCGGGTCGCGGCGGCGCTCGATGCACTACGAGTTTGGCGTGAGCGCGGCCCTCGCGCGCGGGCCCTTCTGGCGGACCTTGCTGCTCCTCCAAGAGACGCGTCCTCGCCCACTGAGTCCGCCGACGCGTCCGCGACTCGGCCCCGCTAGGCGGACGGAGCTCATCGAGGTTGCGCACCGGACAGTGCTGCACAACGGGAGCGGCAAGGACCTCCTCTTGCGGCAGGTCGGGATCCGCCGAGATCCGCCGAGATCCGCCGAGAACTCGCCGAGATTCGCCGAGATCAGCCGCATCTCGTGCTTGCTTGCAGCGGATTGAACCGAGCCACTAAGCATATATATCTCACGGTCGACATTTTATACGATCTCCAACGAGATGCGGCGGATTGGCTCGCCCCCGGTCAGGTTGGCTCGCGCGTGCCGCCGCTGCTGCTGCGCTCCGGCTCGCGCTGCGCGTGGCACTGGCCGGTGCCGCGCTTGGCACGCGAGTCGATGCTGTCTGCGTGCGTGCAGGGCGGGGGGTTCGGCCGCTGGTCCGCCGCCTTTTGCGTGCACGAGGGGGGCGACTACTTCGTGCGCGTCGACGCCCTCGCCGGCGGCGGCATCCCCCACATGCTGCGCGTGGAGGCGGACCTCGGCGGATCTCGGCGGACCTCGGCATCCCCCACAAGCTCTCTGACCTCGGCCGATCCAACCTTTGTCTGATCTCGGCCGATCTCGGCTGACCTCGGCGCCCGCTCCGCGCCCCGAGGTGCGGCGGAGGCGGGCGACGCTGCACGTGACGCTGGCGGCCGTGCGCGCGATGTCGCGCCTCCACCCGTGAGCGGCGCCCCTTCACGCGCCGAGGCGTGAGCAGGCGGCCGTGCGGCTCGACGCGCCACCCTTCCGGCTGACGAACCGGCTGTCGGTGCCGCTCCTCATCTCGCAGCAGGGGGTGCCCGGGCTGATGACGCACGTGCCTCCCGGTTCCGGGACGCCCTACATCCTCGACGCCCCCTCGCTGCCGCCGCTGATGTGCCTGCGCGTGCCCGACCTCGCCGGGGGTCGAGCCGGCCGCGACGGTCGACGCCCCCGCGGCTGGACGCGTCCGTGACGCGTCCTGGACACGTCCCGCAGGCGGCCTGGTCGCGACGGTCGACCTGTCGCGGCTCGGAGAGCAGACGCGCATCGAGCTCGCCGACGGCCGATCCCTCTGGTGCCTCGTGCAGCCAGAGGGCGTCACCCGCTCCCTCCTCCTCGCCGAGGCGCCGCTGCTGCCAAACGGCGCGGCGAGCCGGCGGCCGAGGGCGGGCGAGCGTCCTCCTTCCCCGCACCCTCGCTCGGCGCCCCTCCCGCAGGCGCGGCGAGTTTGGTCGAGGGCGAGCGCCAGCCGGTCGCCGTCCTCTCCTTCCATGCCAGCCGGCTCGGCGCTCTAGATGCGGGAGGGAGGAGAGCGCGCCCCTGCCTCGCGCGCATGCACCCCTAGCCTCGCGCACACGGGCTGCACGGACACGGCAGCCCCCCCCGTTCGCGGCTCGCGCTCTCGCCGCCGCGTGTTGGCGGCCCGCCCCACTAGGCGCCGAGTGTGCAGCGCACGGCCTCCCCTTGGGCCAGGCTCGGCGTCTCTCTCGTCAACCGGCAGCCGCAGGAGCTGCTCTTCCTCTCGGCGCAGCAGCTGCGGGTCTGCGCCGCGCTCACGGTCGCCGCCGTCTCGCTCGACGCCTCCCTCCGCTCGCTGCAGCTCGACAACCAGCTCGAGAAGACGAGCTACCCGGTGCTGCTGCGCGCGAGCCCTCGGCCCGGCGTGGCGGCGCCGGCAGTCCTCGAGCTCAGCTCGGTCAAGCTGCGCCACTGCTCGGACCTGCACTACTACCGCAGCTGCGAGGTCGTCCGCGCCTCCCCGCACCCTTGCCCGCCGCGGGGCTCCTCCCTGCAGATGCCGCCACGGGGCTGTCCCTACCCACGCGCCACCCTCACGGCCCCACACCGGCGAGCGGAGACGCGCGCCACATCCTACCTCATCGCAGGTCCGCGCCGCACCCCTCGACCTGGCGCTCGACCTGCGCGCCCTCCTCGCCGCCGGCGAGGTTGCGCTGCGCCTCTCCTCCCTCGCGAGCCCTCCGCCTCCGCCGCGCGCAAAGCCGACGCCAATCGCCTCGGTCGCCACGGCTCTCCACTTGCCCCGGCACCGCCGCACGACTGCGGGCTTGCGCCACCTCCAGCACGCCGCCGGCGGAGGAGGGGCGCCCGCGCCCGCGCCGCGCAAGTGCTACTTCCAGTGCTTGACGCTGCACCCGATTGCCCTCTCCTACGCCGCCTCCACCTCCGGCTTCGCGGAGCTCAAGACGCTCGTCACCGCGCTCGTCGCCGCGCTGCAGCCCGCCGGCGCGGCCCCTCCCGCGTGGGCGGTGGCGCTGCTGAGCGCCCTCGGCGCGGCGGTCGCCTCGGTGGCCGCGCCCTCCTCTCGCTTTCCTCCCGGACCGCTAGGCGCCTTCGGCGAGCCGCCTCTCCAAGTCTCCCAATAATAGGTGCCTCGCGCGCCTCCGAGCTGCACCAGTGCTTCGAACCCTCCCCTCATCATTCTCGAAGCCGGTCCATAGGTCGACCTCGCGCGCCTCACCTTCGCCGCGCTCGTGCTGCGCGACGCCCTCGACGAGCTGCCCCGCCTGCTCGGCCGCATCGGCAAGCACTACAGTATTCAGGCGTCGCAGGCGCTGCTGCGCGTGGCCGGCGATCTCGACGCTCTCGGCTCGCCAACCGCCGTCCATGAGACAAACCCACGACACGCGCACGACATGTCCGAAGCATGCCCCACAGGGTCGCCCATCGCCGTCCTCGCCGGCATCGGCTCGGGGCTGCGCGACTTCGTCCAGGAGCCGGCCCGCTGCCTGCTCGAGCGGCGGGGGAACGAGCTGCATCTCGCCGTCGCGAGGGGCACCTCCTCCCTCCTCCGCAACACGCTCGCTAGCACGGCGCTAGCGACGGCAAAGGTCTCGGGCACCCTCGGCCACGGCCTCGCGGCGCCCGCCCTCTCGACGAGGACAGGCCTGCACCCTCGGACACGTCCATGACACGTCTGTGGCGTCCCCACCCAGGCCCTCACTCTCGACGACGACTTCGTGCGGCGGCGGGCGGCGCGGCGGGCGGCGCAGCGGCCGGCCTCTCTGGCCGAGGGGCTCCGCGACGGGGCAAGCAATCTGCGAGCCTCAGTGGAGGACGGCGCCTCTGGCCTGGCGAGCCCAGTCCGCGACCTGCGCGACGGAGGCTCGGTGGGGCGGGCGCTCGTCGGGGCGGCGCAGGGCGTCGTGAGCGCGGCGATCAAGCTTGCGTCCCTAGCCCTAGGCTTAGGCGTGGCCCGAGCCCGAGTCCGAGCCCGAACCCTAGGCGCTCAAGCCGGCGTCCGGCGTCCTCGACATGGTCGAGATGATGTGCTCCACCAGTGCCACCGCCGCCGTCTCGGGCCCCGCAGTGCATTCGGCCTCGGTGCGGCCGCGCGCGAGGCCGCCCCGCGCGCTCGCATCGGACGCCGCGCTGCAGCCGTACGACCAATCGGTCCGGGGCGGGCAGGAGTCGCTCCCGCGGGCGAAGGGGCGCCCTTCTGGCCATGTCAGTGACGCGTCCAGGACACGTCCGTGTAGGAGCTGCTGCAGCGGGTGGAGGCCGGCGCCTACCGCGGCGAGCTGCTCCTCGAGCACGTGGGGTTGGGCCCGCGCACGCTGATATGCACCGACGCTCGCGCGCTGCTCGTGCGCAGCGGCTCCTTGGACCTCTCTTGGCAGGCGCCGTGGCAGCAGCTGCGTGGCGTGGAGCTGCAGCCGGCGCGGCACGTGGTGAGGCTGCAGCTGGATACGCGCCAATCTCAGAAGATCGAATGCGGCTCCGCCGGCGCCACCAAGCTCGTGTACGCCACCGTCATGCGGATGCGCGCGCGATATGCTGAGGCGCTCGTCGCGGGCGCGCTGGCCGGCCGCACGCAGGAGCAACGGCAGCTGCAGGCGGCCACAGCGTGACCTTGAGTCAGTGGTGGTGTGCGCGGCGCTAGTGTGCTAGAAGGTGCGTTTGTACGCACGCTCACAATACAGAATTGGAACAATCAACAAACACACACAGCTCTCAGCTGTTTTCGCGCTGTCGGCTGTCGCCGGTCTCGCCGCGAAGCGCGATGCGCGAGCCGTTTCAGGCCCATGCTCTCTCACACCCGCGCCATCTCCTCGTATCGCTCCGCAGGGACGACACGATCCACGTACAGTACTCATCAGAAACGCACATTGTTGCGCGCAGCGCCAGTACTTCCCCTACGCTGCCAGCACGCGTGGCCGTCAAACCCACCGACACCTGTACGTCAAGCCCCTACTAACCTTGCCAAGCTGGCAAGTCGGCCCGCAGTGCCCATGAAGGGCGGGGGTACTGCGAGGCAAAGCTGCGACATCTGGCGAGTGCTGCCGCCTCTCCTGGGGACAGGATTGGCGGAGCTGCCATCTGCTGGCAACGGCACCGGCGCAACAGAGATGGGCGTGCTCATCTGGGAGGCCATGAGCGACTCGCGGGTCTGGTACGGGTACAGTTCGAGCATTCGAAAGAAGTCCGCGCTCTGGATGAAGAAGTCGCCGGTCCGCGGCGGCGGACACGGCGACTCCGGAGACGCCGACGTCGGGCCGGGCTTCATTGTCGCGGGTTTCGTCTTCAACTTCAGGCCCGGAGGCGCCCGGGTTTGTCGTTTCAGCGCATCAACAGCGGCGACTCGTCTTGAGCACTTGAGCGCTGGACATAGCACATAGGGTCGATTCCGGTGTGGCTGTGGGTCGTGCGTCTCCTACTACGCGCCAACTGGCGTGCTCTACAATAAAAATTCGCACGCCCGCAGTGCTCAACACAGAGAGGATCCTCAGAATAACAACCCGGCCCTCGCTTTCACCACGGGTGCTCGTCGAGCGCCACCCACACCTCGCTCCGCCGCGCGTTGAGGCTGTTGAGCGCGTCAAACTGCGCCAGCCGGAACTCCTCCGCTTCGCTGCCGCCCGGCGCGAGCCCGTCGCGGCGCAGCGCCTGCCGCAGCAGCCGCACCTGCGGGAAAGCTCCGAGAGGGTTCGCGCGCGCGCGGGGGGTTGCGGCGCGGCGCGGCGGCCGCACCTGCTCGCGCACGATCGGCTCGGTGGTCGGGTCGGAGAAGGAGCGCACGCCGACCACGCACGAGGGGACCGACTCGAGCGACGCCTCCCCCTGTATCCGCGACTCGGGCGCGGGCGGCGCCGCGTCTCCCAGCACGGGCACACCCATCGGCCAGCGCATCACCTGACGAGGCCCCAGACGGGGGTGAGCCGGGACGCGCCGAGCGCACGGCGCCCGTCGGGCCGGGCGCGTCGCCTTTGCGGCGGAGAGCGTCGTCGACTCGCGAAACTCGTCCCATTCGCCCGTCGGGATGCTCATCAGCGACGGCACGAGCGGCTTCAGCTCGGCGCCCGCCTCGTTGGCGCCGTTGGTGTACGCGCCGAGCACGCCCAGCCCGTCCACCCGCCGCTCGTACTCGACCTTCGCGCAGTCGAAGAGCGGGTACCGCCGCACCTCGTAGTCGCCCGCCCGGCGGAGCAGCGCGAACGGCAGCTCTCGCTCGCTCGCCTGCGGAAGGGGTCCGAGAAGGCTCCTCCTCTCGAGGGCGGTGGGGGAGCGCTCGCTCGCTCGCCTGCTGCGCGTTGGCGCCGCCGGGCGCCTGCGAGAGAGCAGAGAGCGGATGCGGTGGGGCGAAGGGTAGGGGCTGGGGGGGGGGGAGAGGGCGGAGGAGGCGAGGGCGGGCGCGCGCCAGCTGGCTCAGCAGGTCTCCGAAGCCCGCCAGCTTGCTCTTGGGCGCATAGCCACCGCCCGGCTGCAGGTTGACGCTGTCCCAAAAGTCTTGCTGCGCGGAGACGCGCGACTGACGCGGCGGCGAGGGAGGCGGCGGCGTCGGGCGGGTGGCGGAGTGGCGGGCAGCAGCGAGGAGAGATGGAGGGAGAGAGGGGCGGCAGAGAGAGGCAGGCGGCAGAGGCGGTCGCCTCGCCGTCGAGCGTGTACTGAGACACGCCGGTGAACTGAGCGAGCGGCTTCCAGGGCAGCAGCTTGAACCGAAACTGCAGCGTCCACCGCGTCGTGAGCGCGCGCTCCCCGTCCTCGGTGCAGCTGTGCATCACCAGGCCGCAGTCGGAGAAGAGCAGCTTCCCGACGGCCGAGCCGCCGGAGAGCATGTCGACGTTGGCCTTGAACTTGTCCGCGCCGGTGAAGGAGATCATTGGGTCGTCGAACGTCACCTGCGGGTCGTAGAGCTCCATCTCCATCGGGTTGAAGAACGACGAGTACTCGCGCTTCAGGCCGGCGACGAGCGCGGCCTTCCGGTCGGAGAGAGAGGCGGCCTTGCTGTCCGCGACGGCGGCCGCGACCCCGCCGCGCGGAGGCGGCGGCAGCGCGCAGCCCAGCGTGAGGGCGACGCAAGCCGGGGTCGGGAGCAGCATCACACACGTTCAAAATGCACGCGGTGTATGCAGCGGCGAAGCGGCGGCGGTGAAAGTGCCCAGAAAATACCGTACCGTGAGATGAAAAAGAATTGTAACAGGTCTATCTCTTGTATCGTAGTCCGTTTAGTATCGAGTCTCGGGAGTTTTGTGCGCGATAAATTCGTGCCGTCCGCGGCGAGCCGAGCCAGGCCACGGCGCTCGGCCTGCTGAGAGAAGACCTGCCCGGACGGCAGTGACAAGTTACAAACAAAGGTATTGCTAAAAATCTCTCTCAAGTTACCCGACATCAATCGTCGACGGCAAGCTCGAGAACTGCGCCTCCAAAGTCGCCCAGATTCGCCTCTCGCGGCGCGCTGAGTTAGTATCGCCGGTGCGCCAGCCGGCTCTGCTCCACAGCAGGGCATGCCTGACTGGCTCCTGCTAGCCGTGCGTCCTGGTGGCATCCATAGCCAGCTCAGGTAGCCTCAGGAGGTCGCCTCGCGCACGACTCGGCGCCGCACAGCACCGCTCCGCGGCAAACGTGGTGGTCTCGTGTCACCAATGTGGGACCAGAGATGTGACCCTGCTTCTTGGAGAAGTACGAGATGATCGCGGTGCCGATCTTGAAGGCGCAGCCGGAGGTGCTCTGGCGGGTGCACCAGTTCGCGTCGGAGCAGCCGAAGAGCTTGGGGTCGGCGACGCGCTCGTAGTGGAGGCCGAGGTCCTGCGTGCCGATGAGGTAGATGAGGCAGCGCTCGGCGGCGGCCTCGATGTTCGCGTCGGGCCAAGCCATGCAACGCGCCAGCTGCGAGACGGTGTACTTGGACGGCTGCGCTGATGACGATGGACGGGAGGTCCTTGTCCGCGGGCACCTTGTAGCCCCCTGCATCGCGAGAGCACGTGCTGCTGGCGTCGACTCCAAGGCCGGCATGAAGATGTTCCCGACGCCCGACTTCTTCCCTCACGGGTGGCGCGAGCCCGAGAAGCCCATCTACATCCGCTGCGCAAACAACGACTACCTAGGCGAAGGGCGTCGGCACCGCGTACGCCTTCGCGCTGGCTGACCCGACCAAGCCGCAGGACACCAAGGTTGTGAACACCGAATGGGTGAACGCGCTGTACGCGCCCGGACTTGGCGAGCATGATGCACGTGTACGAGAGGACGAGCGGGACCGTCTTGGGCACGTCGATGTCATTCACCGCGCGGAACATGTCGCCCGCGACCTTGCGGTAGATCGGCTGGAGCGGGTCCTCCTCGATGGCGTACTCTGCTCCGCCACCTGAGCCAGTCGCCGGCCCGGTGGACAGCTCGAGGGGTAGTGCGGTGACGGACTCGACCATCACGCCCATGTTCGAGGGCTCGTCCACGGCGTCGGCCACAGGCGTGCCGATCGAGGCAGGCGAGCCCATGTAGACCGGGATAAGGCACGCGAGCAGGACGAGTAGGATGGAAGCGCCGATGTACGGGCGAGGCAGCGCGGTGACGAACGAGGTGAACTTGACCCACAGCCCGCCGCGCGCCCGTGCCTCCGCCGCATTGCGCGCCGCCGTCTTGGCCTTGAGGATGGCGGGCGTGTCGGTGGGGTTGGAGTCGGGGAAGGTGTCCTCGACCTGGTCGGTGCCGACGCCAGCGACAAAGCCGCCGACGATGCCGTCCGGGTCGAACGTGCGGGTGACAGAGTCGGCCAGCGCCGCCCGCACCTCCTCGTGGTCGGTCGCGGTGGAGTCCGACTTCTTGAAGGGGTCGTGCGGGAGGGTGCGGCCGGGGGACTTGGCGCACACCTTCTTGTACGAGGACTGGGCCATGCGCACCTTCGTCTCGTGGTCGATGCGGTCGGGGAGTTCCTCGAGCACCTTGGCGACAGGGACCCCCTTGCAGATGAGGTCGCCGATGCACTTGCCACCGTGCAACCCATTGCAGTGGGGGCACGGCTTGCGCCCAGCGGCTGCGCGGCCGCCGCGGTCCCCGCCGCCCTTGTCGGACTTGATCTGCGCCTGGAGAGCGGCGACCTGGGACTCGGCGGCCGCGAGCTTCTCCTTGAGCACGCCTTGCGAGGCAATCTCCGCCTCGAACGCCGCCTGCGCAGCCGCCTTGGCCTCGTTGGCGCGGTCCGCGTTGTCTTGGTCGAGGATGCCCTGCATCGCGAGCGTGGACGCCTTGAGGCCGTACATCTTGCCCGATTGCGCGGCGAGTTGGCGCTGTATGCCGATCTGCACGCGCATGTTTGCGCCGAGCGTGGCCCCCTTGGCGGCGATCGCGTCGAGGATGTATTCCTCGATCACCTCGTCGGGGAGGTGCCACTGGGAGTCCTTGAGCAACTTGTTCGCCTGCTCGATGCCCGTCTTGAACTTGGCGAGGCTCGCGGACGTGAGGTCCTTGAGAGCGTCGGGGGAGTACGCCTTCTCGAGATCCGCGCGCAGCGCCTTCGTGCGCACGTTCTTGGAGTTCGTGTCCTCCGACTCGATGAGCGACTTGATCGCCGCGATGCCCTTCTTGATGTCGTCGTAGTGGTCGGCGTCCTCGTCCGCCAACATCTCGGCGAGCGTGTCGTCGTCCTTGACGGCGTTCTGCAGCGCACCGTAGAGTTGGCGCGACAGAGTCACCGACAGGTCCTTGAAGAACTTGTCGATCATGGCCGGGATGAGGCCGTCCGCAGTGCCGATGTTCTTGTAGCGCACGTGCAGCGCGACCGCCTCGGCCTCGCGCTCCGCGCCCGGCCGGATGGTGCCCACCTCGATGATGTCGAGGAGGTACTTGTGTTGCTTCGCCGCGGTCCGCAGGTTGCGGAACCACTCGTTGAACTCCCGCTCGGAGCTCTGTTTGTAGGCCGGAATCACCAGCTTGTCCGTCGACGACATGTTGTCGTAATGTCCCGGGGATCGTTGCCCCGCCGCTACCAACTGTGAAGGTCTTCAGTGACCACTCACAAGCTGTTCCAAGGCCCGACAGAAATGTACTGTCAAAACTTTGTTCAAACAAAAGTCCTGGCCCGCGGCCCCCACACCCACAATGACTATCAATCCAGGCTGCGGGTGAAGGGCAAAACCGCGCCGCTGCAGAACGGTTTTTGCAAAACCGCGCCGCAGCGGTACGAAACTGCGCAGATGCAGTCCAGGGGTGGTAAGGACACTATGTGTGTGTGTGTGTGGCCGTAGACTAGACGGCTGCGCGGTCGTCGGTCTTCAACAAGGTGGGGGGGCGACTTGACGATCATCTTGCACGCCCACGGGTAGAACATGTTCATCTTGGGGCGCTGCCCGGTCTTGAGCTCGTACGCTGACTTGCCGGTGTCGCGCACGGCGAAGGTGGCGTTGGCGATGGTGGCCGCGTACACCCAGGCGTAGCCCCAGTACTGGTAGAGCTGGGTGGCGCCATGCCCCCCTG